TACCTTTTTTTTTCACTTTTTCTGACCTATTCGTTTTGTATGTCTTCGCTGTTTAGCTGGGATTCCAAAAAAAGCGCAGGACATCTGTGCTTTAGTAACAGCGATTTGACCCACACGCCATGCTACTTCATCTTAGTTATCAAATATAATAACACAGCGTTTATTACAAATAAGACGAACGCATCCTATGTGAATGAAGAGCGGAATGAATCGAGGTAAAGATAGAATAAAGAAAAGTTTTGCGACACTAATTATTACTTTAAAGATTTATATTATAGGTTGCTTTATATGCACTTCCTTTCCTACAGACCGTAGGATTAGTTTTTAATAGTTTTTGTAGTTGACAACATCAGTTGTCTAAGTTGCTTTCCGCAACCCTTCTATCAAGTAAAAAAAGGTTTCACCTAACCAGTTTATATACCACAGTTTAAGGTATGTGGTCGGTGATGGGTGATTCATTACGTATTTGCTCTAGAAATCTATTTACTGACGTAACAGAGTCATCTGTTGGAGGCAGGAGTGCTTTAGAAACCTGCATTTTCAAATCTTTCTGAACTGCAGAATGAACATTGCCAACTGGAAATGCTTCCTGCATGCGGTTGTTTCATTGCGTTACTAGTGTAGTATGACCCGTAGAAGTTGACGGGAATTAATGTTTCTTTTCTGTTGAACAGTAATACAGCAGCATTATCTTTGCAAGTCGCGTTGAAAGTACAAAATCTATCAAATTTCTTTGTAATGTAAATAAATGTAGAAACATATTCACTGCGACTGAAGCCAAATTCTTGCCAAACGCAACCTTCGGTAGGCCCCACCATTGCCTCGTTTGCATTTCATGCTATTGGAGTAGCCACCGTCAGAGCTTAATTTCAATTTCCTCCGCATCGGTCGAACGGCGCACTCGTGCAGTCACTCGTGACGGACTTCGACTCTTATACTAGGGGTATATTATATTTAGCTGTAATGCTCCTAACAGCTTTTTGAAAGTAATTTTTATTAAGTCAGCTTGTGTAGTAGATGATCTAGAAATTAAGAACTGCCGTTGCTGTTTTACTCGGGGAATATTTCCTGGAACTGACGTGCTCGCCGCGAGAGGTTTTGGTCTGGTGCTGACACCCACTCTTACGTACGTGTCTTGTTGCTGTATCATTGACGCCGGGCAAGGACTCGTGATTGAGATAGCATCTGATGCCGCCTTGCTTTTGGACCGTAGTGTCTTTACAATCTGCAAGA